TTGGTGCATGCAGTTGATTACTTCCTATTTTTCTTACCAATTGTGAACTTCAGTGTGAAACAAATTAATGAAGCTTTTAAACCCTCCCAATTCTGTGTTTTAACTAGTCACCTACATGGATTAATTACTAATTATAACTTCAATTGAGATTTCATGATTGGTTTTGCCAGAACATTAAGGGAACACGAATTTCTGAGCTTCCTATAGAGTCATCTTGTAGCCATCATGTCCTGTAGTTTCAGTTGCCGTTACTTAATGTAAATGTACACTGTTCACAAAGGCTTTCTTCCTCTTTCACTGCTATTTGTCATAGTCATGTTCCCAAAAATAATATATTTTTTCTATAAAAGGGGAAAAAATGAAAAAAAGACAAGGCAATGGAAAATATTAAAAGGCTATTTACTTTCCACATTAGATAAACTCCTATAATACTCTTAATAGCTTTTCCTGTTAATGCAGACCCAGTATGTAATGAGGATTCTAGCAACCATTTGGGGGGTATATTTACATGCTACTAAATTTTTGTAATAATTTTAAAAAATTTTAACATGTATAAAAATTCTCGTAGGAATTAAATGTAGTCTCCCTGTGTCAGAGTGCTCTTTCCTACCATAACTTTCAATAAACCTTTTCTTGAACTTCAGTCTTTAAAAATAATTTTAATTCTGGTAGTGATATTAAAGATTATTTGAGTCAGTTAGAGTAGGTGTTAAAGAGACCAAGTTGAAGTCCAGGCCCTGTGTGAACCCCTGAGCTCCATTGTGAGTTTCACAGTATGGAGTGCATCCCTATGGTCTCCCCGTGTTGTCAAGCATTGGTTGGTCAAAAAATGGGGACTGGGAGAGATGTGGCTAGCTCAGCAAGATACGTTCTCACTATGTGGTGGTTCTGCTGACAGATCAGGAACATAACTTAAAAATAACAACAACAGAACTTAAATTATATGTATATATTTTAAATGAGGTTTTGGGGATGGGGCAAAACTTTAACTTTTTTAAATAATGAAGGGAAAAAGTTTCAAAGTCTCTAGTATTGTCTAGTTCTCTTAACATGCTAAAGTAACATTTCATAAACACTTTACAAGTCTGGTCCATTTTTGTTTAAAGAATAAGGTTTAAAAATAGATAAATTAACAAAATGATTCTTTCAATGCATTTAAAATGTTGCTTATTTTAAGATATTTAAAGTGAGATGGTACATTTAAAGCGAGAGGTGAAAATATCATTGGACTAGGAGGAAGGTGACTTAGATTTTGGTGTCTTTTACAACTTTGATTTTGGGCAGATCACTTATCATTTCTTCATGTTAAAATAACTCATCTCAAGGCCATAGCTAGCCTTACAATTATGTGATTTACATTCAGTTTACATAAAAATATACCTGTTTGTCAATCTCAGCATAATCTATAACTTTTTACCTGTGTTATTATCTTCAATACCAGTTTTAGGCAAAATTATGCAAGAGGTTCATTTTTGAATATCCTTTCTCCATATTCAAGACTTTTCCTCCCATATTAGTGTCATCTTGCCTGCCTACCCTTCTATATGGCCAATGACTTGATGCTTTTAATATATCTAATTCCCTCTAACCTCAAGATTTATTGCTGTTTTGGGTATCTCCTTGAAGGCTTCAGATCAAGTCACATCAGAATGCCTTACATCTTATTTGCTCAAGCTCAACATAATCTGACAGATACTACAGTGGGATTTGACCTAATGGCTAATTTTTGAGGTGGTTGTAGCAATTTAATCTTTAACCTTTGAATATCATGTTTGCTGACTGGTCCATTAGTGACTTTGTAGGAATTTTCATACCTGCTATGAGTAGACAGAACCCTATCCAATGGAAGAAGAATTTAATAAAGGTAGTGCTGAAAGAATTCCTTAGATAATCTGTAATTAGGACTGTGCTGAAAGAATTCCTTAGATAATTTATAATTAGGATTAACTCTGGTAACAGTGACACATTGCATTGTTTTAATAACTAAAATCTTACAGTGAAAAATACTTCAAAATTTAATTTATAAAGCTTTTTAGCGTGGTTCATTTTATTCAACATATTTGAGTGTCTTCTAAATACCAGGCACTACACAAGGCACCGAGGATATTATGGTAAAAGGGACATAATCTTTATGCTAAAGTAGTCTTTATATTCTAGAGTGGTTTGTAATATCTTTGTAAGGCGTTTGGCACATGACCCAGAAATAACCATGCATATTTTAGTTTTGTAGGGAAGGGAGTCGGTCTCTTAAAATTTCTTCCGTTTTTGGAATAATTATTTTGCTCTGATTCCAGTGTAACTGTTTAATCAAGCTACTTTATATAAATCATTTTTCATTGTTTTAAAGGAGTAAGCTTGATTATATATTTTTATTTGGCATAATTGTGTGACTCTATTGGGACAATTATAGTATACATTAAATTGTATGTAATAATATTAAAATCCCCAAGTGTGTAATATTCTGGTTGGTCTCTTTGTGTAAGTAATTAAAATAGACTTTAAAATTAATAATGAATTCTGAAATAGTTATGTTTATTTAAGGACGATTAAACATATGCCTGAACTAATGGACAGAAAAGGACATTTCTGTGTAAAAATCATTGTGATTTCTGGAATGGTTTGCTAAACTAAGGTTCATGGAATGTTATCTAGGTGGAGTGTTAAGACTTATATAGAACCTCCTCTTGTTTCTACCCAAGATAAAGAAATGGCCATGCTTCAAGAATAGCAGTGCATAATTGAGTGAGGGGATTTTTTAGGACTCTTGAATTTTTGATGTAGCTGGGAAATTTTTTTTAATGCAGTGGTAATTATCCTTTATTATCTAAATTTTGAATAAATTGACACAGGTTTGTTTTCATAGAGATTTTAAAAGAGGAAAGATGATCCTAGAAGTAACATAAATGTTATCTAATTATTACAGACTTAAAGATTAAGTTGAAGTTGAAAAAATGCTAAATTATAGTCTTAAGACATAAACATGTTTGTGGAAGAATGTATCAGAAGTATATAGTAAAATTTGAATGAATATTCCCAATTGGGAATTCTAGGCTCTATTTTAACTGAGTCACACTGCATAGGAATTTAGAACCTAACTTTTATAGGTTATCAAAACCTTTGCCACCATTGCACAATTTTGTCCTAATATATAAAGAAATCTTGTGAGGCATGTTAAGTTGCAGTTTGCATAAGTTCATCTCATTTGTATTCCAGTTTTTTCTTCTAGCCATTTTTCTACACATTGTTTTTGTAGGTAATAAAAGCTATCATTTACATTTGTCCAAAAGTAATACTTTCATGGTAATTATATATTGCTGATTTTTAAGAACCTATCAGTTACTATACAACTGAATTTAATAACTTCTCTGTTAATATTGGGTAGCATGAAATCTGCTTTGATAAATTGAACAGCATACAACTGGTAGCTGCAAATTCCTTCAGAAAATGAAATTATTTCTAAAGATATATTCTTAACCAGTTCTTAAAATATAGTGATAACTAGATTAATACTTATTTTAGTTTAATAGTTTTAAGTGCCTGTTTGGATGATGCTAGGTAATTTAGATGAATTTAGGGAAAACAAAATTATTACCTGCAGAAATGTCAGTTACAGCGATCGCCCCTCCCCGTAGAGTTAAATGGGTTATGTAATGTTTCATCCAAAAGTTTCCAGTTCCACTGTCTTGTGTTTTCATGTTGAAAATACTTTTGCATTTTTCCTTTGAGTGCCAATTTCTTACTAGTACTATTTCTTAATGTAACATGTTTACCTGGAATGTATTTTAACTATTTTTGTATAGTGTAAACTGAAACATGCACATTTTGTACATTGTGCTTTTCTTGTGGGACATACGCAGTGTGATCCAGTTGTTTTCCATCATTCGTTTGCGCTGACCTAGGAATGTTGGTCATATCAAACATTACATTTAAAAATGACCACTCTTTTAATTAAAATTAACTTTTAAATGTTTATAGGAGTATGTGCTGTGAAGTGATCTGAAACTTGTAATATTTTTGTCATGAACTGTACTGCTCCTAATTATTGTAATGTAATAAAAATAGTTATGATGGCTATGCTAGTGTGTATTTTTAAAAAATATATATATTTTTACTGATTTCAGAGGAAGGGAGAGGGAGATATAGAAACATCAATAATGAGAGAGAATCATTGATTAGCTGCCTCTTGCATGCCCCCTCCTGGGGATCAAGCCCGCAACCCGGGGATGTGCCCTTGACCAGAATCAAACCTGGGACCCTTCAGTCTTCAGGCTGACGATCTATCCACTGAACCAAACCAGCTAGGGCTAGTGTATTTCTTTCTTTTCTTTTTTTTTAAAATCAGTGCAGGAATTTTTCACAGAGAGGAAGGGAGAGAGATAGAGAGCTAGAAACATCGATGAGAGAGAAACATCAATCAGCTGCCTCCTGCACACCTCCTACTGGGGATGTGCCCGCAACCCAGGTACATGCCCTTGACCGGAATCGAACCTGGGACCTTTCAGTCCGCAGGCCGACGCTCTATCCACTGAGCCAAACCGGTTTCGGCGCTAGTGTATTTCTTAACAGAAATTTGAAACATTTGCCCAACAATTGATATGGAATTGGAATAGTTCATAAGTCACAGATACTATAGTGTTTTAGTAAATCTTTTTTTGCAGCTTATAAGTTAGAAATATTTATGAAAGGTGCTATGAACATTTTGTAAGGTGTGAGTGTTTGTTTAAGACCGTCTTAGTTTTTTTAAAATATATTTTTATTGATTTCAGAGAGGAAGGGAGAGAGATAGAAACATCAATGATGAGAGAATCATTGATTGGCTGCCTCCTGCACACCCCCTACTGGGGATCGAGCCCGCAACCTGGCCCTTGGCTGAAATCGAACCTGGAACCCTTCAGTCCGCAGGCTGACGCTCTATCCACTGAGCCCATTTTAGTTTTAATTCCATTGCCATGTTAACTCATAAGTAGATGCAAAACAGATCTACCTTTATGACAAAAAAATAACTTCATTACTTTTTATCAAAGAAGGTAATAGATACACAACAGGTGATTTATTTTAAGGCCCAAAGGAAGCTAGAAGCAAAATAATGGAGATATTGAATAGGTATGTATGTAATGCCAATCACTGGCAAGCTATTTCAAGTACAGAAGTAATCTTCATATGTATTATTTCTATAACTGCACTAAAATCATGACCAGGTGCTATTTGTTTTGTAGTGAACCTTGCTAATATACCAGATGGGGTAAAAAATAAGGTACTCCTTCAAAAATTAAAGACAATAAATGTAAAAAACATTATTTTGCCTAGTTTCATGTGAATTAAATGGCATTGTCAGTTAAATGGAGAAATGGGCTAAGGATAATTGGCAAAAATCTATTAAGTTACAATTGTTTTAAGTACATTATTTTTCATTTGAAATTAGGTACTCATTAATCTATAATTTGTAGTTGGCAACGTTATGTTAGTATAAAATTGTGCATTAAGGGTTGCTGATAAAACACAGTATAAATATAAGTTAACCCTGTTTTAGCTCAGTTAAGGCAGCTTAAGTATTTTTTATATGTCATGTACATGTTGCCATTTTAAGTTAGAATTATTTTTATATTTATACATAAACAGCTGGCACTGGTTTTAGTAAAATTATAGTAATGATCAGTTAGTGTCTTTGGTATCTGAATAATAGCGCTGTTTCATAGCTCTGTATTTCCTAAGGAAATACAAGGCTTCTAGCTCTTTCATTACAAATTCACCCCGTGCAATCAGTTCTCTGATCTTCTCTGGGTCCTTCACATCTTTGTTTTTAAGGAAAACATTCTTCAGACGCCTTTTAAAATAGTCTGCTCCTTTTGGATAGTCTCGTCCAAGGTACAGCAGCTTAAAAAGGAAAGATTATATATTTCTAAACAATCCATGTCAAGGAACAACATTTATAAAGTTGGCAACGTAATTACTTACATTTTTATAAAGATTCAGTACTTCTCCTCTTAAAGAATTGGCCATTTTCACTTATGGAAAATATCCACTTATATATAGCATACCTAAAGAAAAAGAAAGTTTGTGGTTTTTTTTGTTTGTTTGTTTGTTTTTTGCAAATAACTATTGTAGTAAAAATGAAGAAAAACAGATTTTACATGGTGGGAAAATGCTTTTTTTTTTTTTTTTACCCAATTATTATTTTGAGCATTTTTATGTTTCAGGCAATGGGATATACCTATGAACATTGGTCAGATAAAGTACCTGCTTTCACAGAACTAACATCTCCTGGGGGAGACATAAACAAACAAGATAATTATGAATTTTGACAAGTCCCATGAGGGAAATAGGATAATGAGAGAAAATGAATTGTCAAATATGTAGGTATACCTCCTTTTAATACCACAATAGAATGAATTAGAACTAGATTGGAATGCCAGCTTTATAATGTTGTATAGGTTACTTAACCTTTCTGAGCCTCAATTTCCTTATCATCAAAAGGAAGACTGTATTTTTTCTGCTCTCAAGGCAAGGCCAGATCTGTTTGGAGGACATTGAGAAGAGGCCTGGTCAAATGTAGAAGGGTGCTATCCTAAGAAAGGCTAAAAAGTAGGAGAAACTTGCTGTTTGAGTTGAGCAGGCTCACAATTAATGGTAGATGGGCAATAAGATTGGTAGTAAAGAGGCAAAATGAACAACTCATAAGGGGTTACATGAGCAGGCAACATCTAATGGGATAGATTATATCTCATGTATAATTTGTTAATGAACCAGGATATCCTAAACATAGACAATAATTCCCAATACTTGTTATAATTGTGGGGATTAAATAATAAAATTCCTAACATAAGTAGGCCCAAAGTAAATGTTAATGTCAGTTATTAACCTCCTCTAAAATTCTGTAATTCCAGTTTTCCCAATGACCTATGAAAATAGTCCCTCATTAACAATTTTTATTTTGAAACTAGAGGCCTGATGCATGAAATTCATGCAAGAGTAGACCTTCCTTCCCCCAGCTGCTGGCACCGGCTTCCCTCTGGCACCTGGGACCCAGGTGTCCCTTTGGCTGCCGGCAGGCACCTGGAACCTGGGCTTTGTCCAGAAGGACATCCGGTCTAATTAGCATATTACACTTTTATTATTATAGATGAGACCCAGTGCATGAATTCGTGCACGGGTGGGGTCCAGCTGGCCCAGCCCCAATTGGCGGATCCGGGCCGGGCCTGTCGGGAGGAGGAGATGGCGAGAGGTTGGCCAGCGGGCGCCGCCCCTGATGGGGGGGCCAATTGGGGGTGGGGTCAGCCATAGGGAAGGGCTGTGGGCAGTGGGCGGGCTGGCCCCACCCCTGATTGGTGTGTGTGGAGGGGTGATCAGGGGTGGAGCTGGCTGGGGGGAGGGGCTGTAGGCCTGCCTGATCACCCCTAACCACTCTGCCTGCTGGCCTGATCAACCCCAACAGCCCCCCCTTCCAAGGGGGTGGGGGTTGTCCCTCAGTCCGGCCTTCACCTTCTCCAATCTGGGACCGCTGGCTCCTAACCGCTCACCTGCCTGCCTCCCTGATCACCCCTAACCACTCTGCATGCCAGCTTGATCGCTCCCAACTGCCCACCCCTGCCGGCCTGCTTGCCCCCAACTGCTCCCCCTGCTGGCCTGCTTGCACCCAACTGCCCTCCCCTGCCAGCCTGATTGCCCCTAATCGCCTCTACCTCGGCCCCGCCATCATGGCATTGTCCGGAAGAATGTCCAGAAGGTCTCCGGGTCTAATTAGCATATTACTGTTTTATTAGTATAGATGATTTCAACCTTGCAGGAAAGTTGCAACACACTACAAATATTTTTTCCAGAACTATTTGAGAAGTTACTAACATGCTGTTCCATCAGCCTGAATACTTTGCATAGCCATCCAATAGAAATATAAGAGGCACTTAGGTAATTTTACATTTTTTAGTACATATTATAAATAAAATCATTTAATAACATTCTTTATATTTAAAATATTATTTCAATGTATTACACTAGCTATATTTTAAGGGCTTACAGGTACCCAGGACTTAGTTGCTACCACACTGGACAGCACAGCTTTAGAGTGTATTGTCCATGAATAAGGACATTTCCTACAGAACAATACAACGATCGGCATCAGGAAGTTAACACTGCTCTATTACTCCCATTTGATCAACAACCCCTTCATGTTCTGGCACTTGTCCTAAAGATGCCCTTATTGCACTAGGTGCCCAGTGCACAAATCTGTGCACCTTAAAAGGAACTGTGGGCCACAAGTCTGTGGTGGGCACAGGGGTGGGTTTTGGCCCATCCTCCGCGTCCCTGCCCAGCCCCTCCCACCACAGTCCCTGGTCCCCTGTCTGCTGGCAGCCCCGCTCCCACCACCACCGCTCTCATGCACCAGCTCCACTCGCACCTGCTGACGGTACAGAGTGACTTGGGTCGGTGCCAGCAGTTGGGGCGAGCGGTGGCTGCTGCTCTGATTGCCCCTCAGGAGCAGGGGGAGGTGGAGAAGCCCTCCGGGGCTATCGGGCTGGCAGCCGCTGCTCGCACCCGCTGCTCGCACCTGTTGACGGTGCTGAGTGATCGGGATCAGCACCAGGCACCGGCAGCAGGTGTGAGCGGCGGCTCCAGCACTAGCTGTGGGTGTGAGTGGGGCCGTTGCCAGCAGTGGGTGCGAGAGGCGGCTGCCGGCCCCGATCGCCTCTCAGGAACAGGAGGAGGTGAAGAAGCCGTGAGGGGTTATCGGGGCTGGCAGCTGCCACTCGCACCCGCTTATGGCTCTGAGCGATTAGGGCCAGCACTGGCGGTGCAAACGGTGGCTCTGGTGCTGGCAGCGGGTGCGAGTGGGGCCAGTGCCAGCAGTAGGTTGAGCACTGGGCAGGACCACAGCGCACAGGAGCAAAGAATTTTCAGTAACTACCAGAGGCTCGCCCCGATGACAGCGACCTGTGCCCTGCCTTGGTCTGGCGCCCCTGCTCACCTCCACCATCCCGCCACGGCCGACGCCCGCCATGTTCTGCGCTCAGCTGCCTGCTGCCGACGCCCGCCATGTTCTGTGCATGCCCCCTTGTGGTCAGCACACGTCATAGCGACCGCTTGTTTGGTTGTTCAGCTGTTTGGTCTATTTGCATATTAGGGTTTTATATATAGATAGATAACAAAAAGATCGAATCCAAGATTACACATTGCCCATGTATTTTGTAGAATGTGTCTCATTGTGATGTTACCTCATGGCTAGATTAAGGTTATGTAGTTTGGGCAAACATATTACAGACATGATGGTTTGTTCATTTTATTGTATCTTATCAGGTGGACACAGTTCCAATTTGTTTATTATGATTGATGTTAATTTTGATCACTAGATTAAGGTTTGGATTCTCTGTAAAGTTACTCCCCCTGGTTTGAAGTTAGTAAGCATTTTGTGAGAAGTACTTTGAGATTACATATAGATATTCCTGAAAAACCTTTCATGTTGCAAAAACATTAAAAATAACAGGGTTTTGGGGGAAAATAGGTTTGGGACAGACAACTCAAATCCTATGCAACTAAACAACTAATAAACAGAAACTGGTACTTGGAGAGTTAATTTGGATCACTTGAGTTTCTCTGAGCCTAGCTGGAGACTCGCAGAGATCTTTAAACTGCTAAAAATAATAGAGTTAGGGGCTGGAGACGAAGAAAGGATCAAAAGGGGCAGGAGGAAGTCTTTGGGGATGATGGATATTTATCATGATTGTGGTGATGATTTCATAAGTGTATGCATATGTTTGGTTTATCAAATTGTATTTATATTTTAAATAAATGTAGTTTATTCTATGTCAATTATACCTCACTAAAACTTTTTAAATGCTAAAAGTAGGGTTGGTAGAAACTGAGGTACACATGGAAGTAGAGAGCTATACAGCGGTCGCCAAGTGGTGGTCCGCGGACCAATGGTGGTCCGTGAGGTCTGAAAGGTTGGCGACCGCTGGTTTAAGGAAACCTTTGGACTTGACACTTAGTGGTCAGAGTAGGTGGTCCAGTCTGCCACCAATCAATAGTTGCATACAGTGGAGTATGCTTCTCTGGAGAAGGAGCCCTGAGTGTAAGCACCTGTTTAAAAATTTTAAAAAATATACCTGAATGACTCCTGCTGATAGTAGAGCAACTAAGTGAGGACTTTCATTTTATGCTGAAGTTCATAAATCACATAGGAACCAACATTACTTCCATGTTAAAACTTGTATAATCCCCTTTTTAGTAGTTCATGAACTAATTCACATAACAAGCATACAATGTAACAAAACAATTTATTTTCCTTTGAGTTCATTAATGTTAGTTTACTCTCAATTTCTGTTGTTTTCCTTCAAGTTGTTTCTCCCCCCACCCCCCCCGCTGCTTGCTTTTGCTGCATCACTTCTGAGCTTTCCTCCAAAGACTGGTAAATCTTTTCTGTCTATTAGAAGTAAAAGGCCCAAAAATGCATTTTAGAATATCTGCATACATGGTTGCAACTTACTTTGACCTTTACCTAGGAGGATTTGAGTGGGCCCTTTATTGGGGAACCACTGATGTCAATCTTAGATCTTTCCTCTTGGGCTGGTCAGATTCCCCAAAGAAATATCTTCCAATCTTCTGAGGATTTGCCTATTCAGTATTAACAGGGGCCTTGCATTCAGTATTATGTATGCCCAAATTAACTTAATTTCCTTTCACTGTAGTTCTCATGTACTTAGTATGCCTAAAGACACCCCAGTTCAGATTTTGTCCATAAATAAACCTCCAGTCTTCTATGGGAGTGAGAGGGCACAGTCACTTGGAGTTGTTTCTCACATAGCTTTCACTTAATCCTCTTTGCTTCATTTTTCATTTCCAATTCCAATGGCCCTGTTCCAGTGCCTTTTGAGAATGATGCAGTATAAATGGAGCTCTTCTGGTGTGCTAAGTAAGTCAGTCACCTGTTCTGCAGCTTCTAAGTCTTATTGTCATCTCCCCTCTAATTTTTCCAATTTATTATTATGGCCCTTTTAATGAAAATTTAGTGGAGTTTTGGAAGGGAGTGAAATTAGATGGGTGTATTTAACCTGCTATGTCAAAACCTAATTTCATTTTTAAAAATGTTTCTTGTTTGGCTGAGAAGCATTTTCCAATGTGGTTTAACCTTATTGGAGAATGACTCTTAAAACCATGTGCTTTTAAAATAATTCTAAATTCAATCTACATAGGTATAATTTCAAATTGCAAATGATAGCCTGTTTTATTCCTGGGAAAGAGCATAGTTTTATTTAATTCACAATCTGTAAATCTGTGAAAGCTTTTAGAGATACGGTTTAAATTGTCCTTTTTTAGCTGTTGTTCTTTTTATAAATTAATAAAAGATTTTCCCAGCAAAAAAAGTAGCTGATATGACTAAGGTAAATTTTCCCCATTCTTTGCTATGTTAATTTAAACAGATTAAGGCAGTTTATTATTGTACACTGGCATTCAAGCATTTACGTGTATTTTGGCCTTTGGGAAAAATAGGTCTCCTATTTTTAGGGTTTGCAATTGGTGAACAATTTAAGTGCAGCAGGGACCTGGGACTGCTCCTTAACCTTGCAACAAGTTATGGTGGTTTCTGTTCTTTGTAAAGAGCCAGATGAGTTAGGGATGAAAATAAGTCCCCCTTCATTCTGAGAATGCAGATGTGTGTAGTAGGCAAAGGCTGGGGGTAACAATCCCCGCTGACAGCTTTTCTAGTGACTGGGCTAAGAAGCTAAGACTTAATCATTAACTCCAGTCCTGGGTTAAGTAAGAATTGTCATTTTACTGGGGACTATGGCACTCAAAGCTGTTGTTAATCACTCTTCCCCATACAGTTCAGATGGCAATAAGAGCTGAAAGAAGCTGGCAAAGAAGGGCAATGCAATATTATTATTTATTGGGATCTGGTAGACTTGACTCAAATAGATGAAGCACATATCTCCAAAGTAGTTAAACCTAAAAAGGCTTCCCACAAAAACTGTATTCCAACACAACTGCCAGCACGGAAGCATATGTAATCAGAGAGGTCGGTGGCAAGAGATGTTGCTCCCAAAGGCTGGCATACAGCTTGGTCTCTAGTCCGACCTAGAAGCCAGATGATATAAGTGAGTTGAAAGGAGACGGTTATGTATGTTCAGAACGGGTAGGCATTACGCCTGTCTGAAGGGAAAGGAACACTTCCTTACTCTCAGGCAGCTTGCAAGAGAAGTACTGGAGGAGAACCAAGCTCACTGGTATAAGCTCTTACAGCGCGGTGACCCCTAGAACACAGTCCAGCTTGTCCTGTCACATCCATAGCAATTCCTGGGGGTGGGGGGGGGGCGGGTTGGTAAGAGTGAGAGTTTGAGCAAGTCCTCTCCTTGGAGGCCCACCATTTTAAGGTAATTTGGAATTATCACCTCCTTTCCCCAATCAGTCCTAGTTGAGTGGACTGAGGTTTTGTATCATAAAAAGTCATCTGGTTGAAAAACAATTTAAAACAAAAGCTTACTTCCATTCCAAACGGCTTCAGAAGTAGACGAAGTCAACATTTATATGTTTATCTTACTACCGGGAATTTGGAGGTGGATGTCAACCATTCCACAACCTGGATTTCTCTTACAAGGGGGATAGTAACACTCTAACCCACAAAGACTAGCTCAGTAAGTAATATTTATGAACACACTTAATCAATGACGTTGGGATAGAGCATTATAAAATTAGAATTCAGAGATGAGAAATGGTGTCAACAATTTTAAAGTATTTCATGCCATGTTATGCTAAAACAGGGTTTTGGGTCCTAAAATCATGGAGAATTCAGCTAGGGCTTTACAAGGCACTTAATTTCTTAAATCACTTAATTCTAGTTTTCTGTGGGTCTGAGTTGTCAGTGTCTCTTCATGTGGGGAGGAGTCACATCCTGAAGGTTGTGCTAGTGGTTATCACAATTTTTGACCTTGGGCGAATAACGTAATGGCCCTGGCTGGGCTTCAGCGACCTTCATCTGTAAGAAATAACTTCACCCAGGAATTGTTTCAGATCCTTCCCAGTTCTTGTTTACAGCGGCTCTTAGAAAAAAACGACATACACCTTGCACGGGAAATAAACAGAACCAGGTGCAGGGAGAAGAATCCGAAGGTCATGCATTTAAAAATAACCAAGCCACCTCTTATCTAAATGGCCGCACCCGGCTGGCCTAAGCTGTGGGGACCCGGGAAGCTGGGCAGCAGCCAGCCTGGGTAGCTGGGGTGGCCCCTGTCCTCCTGGAGGCCCTGACACACATTCGCCCAGCACGCTCCGGGGACAGAGGGAGAGGGGAGACCCGCAACGGCGGCGGCGCTCGGACACTTTCCCACGCCCGCAGCACCTCCTCGCCCGGAGCGTAACTTCCCCGCCTCCAGACCCCAGGTCCGCAAAGCACAAGGAAGCACCCGGGAGCTGCACTCACGCACTTTCCGGCGCGCCGCAGCCGTAAAGCTTCGCACCGCTTCCACTGTGCGTCTGTCACCCACGCAGCGTGGAGGGCGTGCGGGCGAGCTGTCACGGAGGGGGCGGGGCGCCGCCCGGAAGAACGCAGCGCGACTGCGCGGACCGTGCGGGCCGAAAGCGCTGTTTCCCTGGGGCGTCAGTGGGCGGGGCTTGTCGTCCTGACAACCCCAGAGCGTTTAGTCCGCACGCTCGGCTTCGCCTCTTGCAGACGCACCGCGGAGGTCGTGCTTCACTGAGCATGGTGAGCGGGAATGCGGGGGAACCAGGCGAAGGGGCGAGCACTGATTCTCCTTCCCCGGTGCTCAGTGATGAGAAGAACCCGACTTACGTTAGAGGGGAGCAGGTCGGCTTAAGAAAGAACCCCTAGCGCTGTTGGGGAACGGCCTCCTCTCCATCCGTGGTCTTCCCATCCGTAACTCGCGGACAGGTCAGAGGGGGCCCTAATCTCACACTGTTGCATGGTTTAAAACGTGGCCTCAGCCGAGTGAACATACTGATGTTTGACTCAAGGTGCGCAGCCTGCCCTGAATTTATTAGGATAAAGCTTCTCGTTGTTGTGTCTTTCCCTACACTCCTCAGCTGTCTTCTCCAAGAACAGAGGCCAACATATAGCAATGAGATAATATCTTTCCCCATTTTTCTTACATGTGATTTCCGTCTTCTATGACTGAAATCAGAGGAAGTGGGAATGTAATTAGTTAATTATTTAAAAACTATTGGAAAATATGAAGTTCATTCTTTGTACTTATGCCCTCTGAACTTTGGGCACTACTTGCTAACTGATGCTCTTACGATTTGCAGGGAGGTGAGGATATGTGTTTATCCCAAACCTGCTTCACATTAAAAGCACTAGTGAGAGATGACAATTTGCCCATCTTTAAAATATGGCTACTTGAGGGCAGGGGCAATGCTATTTATATAGTCTGCTGTATAGTACTTATTTCAAAATGAAAGTATGCTAACTGTTAATAGCAAATATAATAATAAAAGTGGAGCCCGTTTGCAAAAGTTATGTGAGAGCGAATTCTATTCCTCTTTATATCATCTCCAGCATTTTAGAGTGTCTTGTGTATAAATCATTAATAAATATGTGCAGTTTTCAAGAATGTATAATCTGCTTTGTGCCATTTTTAACATATATATTTTATACTGTGATAATCTTATGGCTTGAACCAGTAATTTGCCCTGTGTAAGTGTTCACATATGGAAAGTTTATAATCTTATAGTCATGTGATCTCCTACAAATTCCTTACCAGAAATCTAATGGACACATGGGCCTGATCAGGAAATTACTAATAGTGTAACCGAAAAATACTTCTAATTATTTATTGAAATACTTTGCTTTCCAAAATAATTTCCACATATTGCTGAATTCTGATTCTCTTTCTTATAAAAGCAATCATTTCACAGAAAGATTTTTCTATGAGATCATTCCTACACTTTCAAACTGGAATTAGTATCAACGCTCAATGACTTATTGTTCTTTGGAACCCTTTAAACTAGTTCCTTTCCGACTGGTACTCTGGTTAGTGATAGGGCATTTGATTAAACATGGATCATTGAATGATTGTATTAAGAAAGAGTGTAAAATTTACTTATAAAAGATGCTTCAGGGAGTGAACTATTTTTAGTTTTTCCTAGACTTGCTTCTAGTCTTGTCTGAATTCTTTTTAAAAAGACTTTTGAGGTAATTTTAGATGTACAAAAAAGTTGCAAAGATGGTACAGAGACTTCCCTTATATTCTTTACCCAGCTTCTCCTAATTTTAGCATGTTACATAATCAGGGCACTTTTGTTAAAAGTATTTGATTTTTCAAAAAATTTATCAATTCTTTTCTTTTTCCAAATTTTAGAGTACCAAAGCAAAGAAGGTAGGTAGAAATTTTCTCATCATAGTTTTATAATTACTGGGATTGTACATACAGAATATTAAAACATTTTTAGTTAGTTTTCTTATAGTTTATAGAATTTAGTAAGCTTACTTTGTAGACATTAATGCTGTTTAAATCATGAGGTTAATCCATTCATCACTTCACATAATTACCATTGTGTGTGTGTGTGTGTGTGTGTGTGTGTGTGTGGTAAGAACATTTAAGATCTACTGCCTTGGCAGCTTTCAAGTATACAATACAGTGTTATTAACTATAGTCACCACATTAGATCCCCAGAACTTATTCATTTCATAACTGAAATTTATACCCACTGACCAGCATCTGCCCATTTCCTCCATCCCTCCACCTCTGGCAATCACCAATTTACTCTCTGTTTCTATGAGTTTGGCTTTTTTAGATTTTACATCTAAGTGAGATCATACAGTTTCTCTGATTTAATTCACATAACATAATGCCCTCAAGGTTTATCCATATTAATGCAAATAGCAAGATTTTGTTCTTTTTTATGGCTGAATAATATTGTATTGTATATTTTCTTTTTCCTTATCTAGTCATCTGTGGATAGACACTTAGATGGTTTCATGTCTTGGGTATTTTGAATAATGTTGCAATGAACATGGGGATGCAGGTATCTCTTCAAGAAAGTGATTTCATTACATAAAGTTTACATTCTATCTGGGGATGGGAGGTGATGAAATAATATAAACCTATACAATAAAAGGCTAATATGCAAATCAACTGAATGGTGGAACGACTGGTTGCTATGCGCACTGACCACCACCAGGGGGCAGATGCTCAATGCAGGAGCTGCCCCCTGGTGGTCAGTGCACTCCCACAGAGAGAACACTACTCAGCCAGAAGCTGAGCTCATGGCTGGCGAGCGCAGCGGTGGTGGCAGGAGCCTCTCCCATCACCGAGGCAGCACTAAGGATGTCCAACTGATGGCTTAGGCCTACTCCCTGCAAGAGGCTCCTGGACTGCCAGAGGGAACAGGTCAGGCTGAGGGCCCCCACCCCACCCTGAGTGCATGAATTTCGTGCACCAGCCCTCTAGTTTTAAATGACTTGGAATATGCAGAAAACCAAGGAAGGTTGCAGTGAGAAATGTGTGGTAGAGGATAGTGCTGTTACATATAGGGTGATTAAGGAAGTAAAATTTGAGAAGAGACCTGTATGAAGTAAGAAAGTCAATAATTAGCTGGCATATGACTACTTTAGACTGAAGAAAACAGTTATTGCGAAGTTGGCAGTGACCTTGTGAGAATACCAGAGTGGTTAGAATAGAGTGAGAGAGGTAGAAAGTGAAAGATAAAATATGGGGTGTGGTGGAGGAGATAACAGGAGACAGTTCATGGCCAAGTAGACCAAGATGAAATGTTTGGGTTTTTATTCTTAGGGTAATGGATAGCCTGAGAAAGTTGTAAACTGAAGAGTGACATGATATGATTTACATTTTTTAAAGGGTCAGTGGAAAATTCACTCTAGGGAAGCAAGAGTACAAGTAGGAGGACGAGTTGGGAAGCTGTTGCAGCAGTCTAGATCCAAGTCTTCGCACCGAAATAAATCAAATTCTAGAAGTAAAGAGGACCCTCAGAGATACACAAAGGTTTTCTAGGGAGACAATGACACAGAGAACTTTATGGATATCAATTTCCAGATAATCAACTTCCATATTGATCTTTTCCTGGGGAAAATCTACAGTTTCAAAGTCCTGCCTTTTGCTATTACACTCTCCCCTTTCACAATTATCCTTTTGCTTTTCAAAACAAAGGCATATCTCTCAACCATTCTAATCTTACCCTCAGGCCTGGGCTATGAAACTAATGGATGATCCAAAACATTTATTCTGGCAAACCTTTCTTTAGTCATGGCACCAAGGACTTCTTGTTTTGTCTTGTAAGTGCTGAAATGTGGCATTAGAAGTTTTGAGATATTCTGTATTTCTTATATATTGTAGTATGGAGCGGTGGGACTGGTAATAATTTTTGTTTAGTGACATCACCCATGAGACTATTGTCAAACAATGATGCACAAGAAAACTATCACAATGTAATTCATTAATAAAACATCTAGACTCCAAAAATAACAATTTTTAAAAATAATTCTTTATTGTTGAAAGTATTACATATTCCCCTTTTCCCCCCAAAGTATTGCATTGACCCTCTCCATCCCCCCCTACACTCCCCTGCCCCAGGCCTTCAGCACCCTATTGTCTGTGTCCATGGGTTATGCATATATGCATACAAGGTCTCAAAAATAACAATTTTTTTTAATGAAAAAAGATTGAATATCAGTAAGTATGTAAATGAGCTTAATAGTTAAACGACCTTAAAGTCGTTTTTGAAACTTCATACAACTTGAATTAGTATTACTCGTTTCAAAAGCTAGGAAACTGTACAGGACTATAGAAAAGGTTAGAATATCAGGTGCACTGTTGAAAGATCCACCACTGCCTTTACATCAATATGTTGTTTTTTTCCCAAAAACCACTGCACTTCATAGAATACATGAAATAGCAGAAGACTTTAAGTGGATTGTAGGAGAAAATTGCCTTACAGATTGATGAATACATAGATGATTTCTGTCATTCCAGTTAATTTATAATTGCTCTTCCAGTGAAGAAAATATTAAGAAATGTTGATATTTGAATTATTTTTAGGAATACAACTTCTGAAGAGACTTTACAGAACTTGGTTTATTTTTATTAGAATTCATTTTATTTGAATAGACTGAGAATAGTAACGAAAAACCTTCAGGTATGGAACTGTACTTTAAATCCTATTTTAATTTAGGAATACAATATTCACAAACAAGCTTTGTTTGCCTAAAATTTTGTTGTGGAGCACGAGTGACAGAATGACCAGAATTCCAGACTGATTAAAATTTGGAGAGCCTTTATTGACTGGCCAATGTCCGCTCCTCCACTCGGGAAGCCCAAGAGAGAAGCGGCCACGACCATCTGCAGAGTCCAATATTTAAAGGGGACAACTACATTCGTGTTCAGGTTCCCATAGCAAGCAAAGCCAAGTTACAAAAGCTCATTGCGTAGTTTTAGCCAAGCTATTCATCATCCTCCTCTTATTCATTTCTGGGTAACTTAAAGGTCAGGACTATTCTTAATTTTGATCTGTCTATTCTTTGTAGGCCGTTGCTCAGGTGTGTGAGCTCAGTTCCTAGAAACTTTGCACAG